CAAGGCGCTGCAGGCCTCACCGGAAGAAGATGGGGGAGGGTAGCCTGACACACTTTCAGAGGAAGGGTCAGAGGCACTAACACACACTCTCTGTCTCTCTCACCCCCTACCCGCCCCACACACACACGCACATACACACCTACGTGCTTGAGTAAAAACATGGCCTCCTGCCTTTGCTGTTGTAATAGCCCAGTGCTTTAATTGGACAGCTCTGAATAACGAAGGAGTCCGTCTTTCTTCATTTAGTGCTGATTTATTTTAAACCACAAGTAAAAATTACAAACACGACCCGGGTTGCTCCCTCCTCCAGAAACACACTGTACTCAAAAACAAAAACAACTGTTAGTGTGTATATGCACCTGGCTGCTTTCACAGCCAAAGATAAACATGCAGCTTGCTTGAGGCGTCATTTCATTAGCAGAGACGCCTCATTAGAGGTAACTGTTCCTGGAAATGCACTCCTGAGTTGTTTCCACGTGCAATTTCTTAACTGGGACAACATGAGCTGCCCTCATCTCGACTACTCATCGTCCACTTAGAGTCCAGTCCTCTGAGGCTGCACAATGATACAATTCCAAAGAGGTTATCTTACGTGAAACGTTGCCAGATTGGTTTGATTTCTTCTCCATTGTAGTATCAATAACCTTTGGATTACGCAGTGAGTGCAGCCACCCTGTGTTAATGTTTTCAACTTGCTTGGAGTAACAGCTGAACTGCGATGACTGCATTCTCTGTTTTATTCCTTACAGTGTTTCAGTCATAAACCAAAAAGTTATATAAGGCAGGCCACCAGCAGGTTTGTAACTACAAGCTTAAATGTATAAAATAGTTTCTGCAATTCACATCATAGCGCTTTGTTTCTGTATATGTTATATTTATAGCACCTGGTGAAGTTTCAGCTGAGCAGTGAGATATTTGTTCTTGAGTTTTCATACAACAGAGGTTTACTCACTGGAGAGGAGCAATAAACAAACAAAGCAAAACTGTATCCACACAGGGTTGATGGGATGCCTGTGGCTCAGGAGGGAGAACAGGTGGTCCACCAGTCGCAAGGTCACAAGTTCATAGTTTCTGTGTGAAAAAAGCAAAAAGAAAGTTTTGAAGTTAGTTTACAGCAGCTGAACAGTGTATGCAGGATAAATTTGAAATTAACAACAGCAGCCATGTTCACTGTAGTGACCAAATGAGCAACTATGCATCATCCTTAAAGGCTAAAGGGCCAGTTCCTGGGCCAAATATTCTGAGTATTTTGTTCTAATTAAAACAAATATATAATAATGTATAATAATGTATGATTGAATGACCTCTTCACTGCCTCAGTCCTGTTCTACAAATGTTTGTTGAATCCCTCCTGCAGTTAGCAAGAGAGGATCAGGGGAGGCTTGCCAGAGACTTCTGTACAGACAAATAAGTTTCATTGACATTTGTGGCCGTTGCTGCTGGTTGTCAATAGAGTTAGTTAAATGCTACAGATTACTCACAGCCCCTGTAAAAAACCCCTGGCTTCAGACACTTTACTTTGATCGCCTGTAATCTCCACAGTATGAAACATTTGCGCCATCTAATCATCCATCCCCACCCCTGTCCCATCTCACTAAGAATTCTGGTGTCTGACCCAAGTATAGCACAACACAGGGTGACAAGGTGATTATTTTTATCGAATGTGACATATTTTTCACACTCACACATCATCGGTTGTGGGTTGCCAACAGATTTTCAACACATTTTACATTAAGGACCATATTAGAGGAGTCTGAGAATTTACTGTGTCATCCTTGAAGATGCAGTCTGTGTTTTTCCTGTTAAACTAATCTTTTTCAGTTTTTCTTTAGCATCAGACAGTTTCAAGTGTTTGAATAACCGATGCCAGTATATGTGGGTTTTAAAGGCATACAAGAGTGTTAAAATGGCATCACTGATCTCCATTATAATTTGAGGTTGTTTATTTGTTTCCCAGGTCCATGGGGACGGTGCATGGGCAGCGACTGTGGCCCAGGTGGCAGCCAAAGCCGGGCAGTCTGGTGTGCCCATGTGGACGGCTGGACAACGCTTCACACCAACTGTGACCAGGGCCAGCGTCCGTCCAACCAGAGAAACTGTTTTCGTGTGTGTGACTGGCACAAAGACCTTTATGATTGGAAACTTGGTGCCTGGAATAAGTGTGTGCCAGTGTCGGCAAGGACCTTTGGCTCCCCATGGCCATTTGCATGCAGTGGGGGCGAAGAGGGCATTCAGACCCGAGAGGTGGGCTGCATACTAAGGTCAGATGGGTCTCCAGCAGATGATGCCATCTGTGAGTACTTTGAGCCCAAGCCTCGCCTGGAGCAGGCATGTTTGATCCCTTGCCCACAGGATTGTGTGGTTTCCGAGTATTCACCATGGACCTCCTGCTCCAAAACGTGTGGAACAGGCCTCAGGAACAGGGTCCGCAGTGTCCTGGTTCCTCCACTTTTTGGAGGCACTGTCTGCCCCAACCTTACCGAGTTTCAGTCTTGTAAACCAGGGCCTTGCACAGGTCCAGAGGGCATGTACAGTCTCAGGGTTGGACCGTGGAGCCCTTGCACCCTCCCCCTGACTCGAACAGCACGCCAAGCCAAGCGCAGGAAAGGCAAAGGCCAGGGGCTCAGGGAGAGAGTAGGCGTCAAAGATCCAGAGACCAGGGAACTTATCCAGAAGAAGCGAACCCGGAATCGCCTTAACCGGCAGGAAAGTCGGTTCTGGGACATCCAGGTGGGCTACCAGACACGGGAGGTGACCTGCATACATAGGAATGGGAGCACTGTGGGACGCAAGTGAGTGGCAATAATTTTTGTCTTACCTGACATTAAAGTCAGTATTTTTCTTTTCTGTAGCACCTTTACATACAATTTTAAAGGTGAAAGATGCATTCAATTTATAAATTTTCATTTTAAATTGAGACAGTTTCCTCCTGCCTTACAGGCCTTTAGCAGAGTCAGTGATTTCACACCATGTATTTATTTTATCTACATATCTATTTCCATACTCTTTGTATTATATTGATCCCTGTATTTATCTGTATTTCTACCCAAATTTTTTTTCCAGTTTTGGCATTTAGGTGTACTGGTCAGTGGGTTTCTAACAGCTCAACATGATGTCAAATTTGTCCTCCTGATAGTTTTTCTTCTCCCTGTCAGATAGTGACACATAAGGGAAGATGTTTGTCAGCTGTGCCACGCTGTCAGAGCAATGAGGCACAACTACAGTGATTTCAATGCCCCTGGATGGAAGTAGCGAAACAGCTTATTTTATAGCAAGAGATCAGTCTTAGTCACAGCTTTGTGTGGTGTGATTTTAAAAACGGGCAGTTTTCTACAACTTGTCTTCTGGTTTGGAATGAATTTGTAATGATATGTTTTATGAAATGCTATGAATGGCTCGTGTCACTCAGTGTCACCTGTTTGTTTTTTTTTTTTTTTTTTTTTTGTGGAAAAGCAACCAGGCAAAAATGCTCAACTATGGAAAACAGTGGAAATATTTGTCAGAGTGACCAAAAGAATGATGGTCTGAGGCCAAATATGATGTCAGGGGATGAGGCAGCCGCAGCAGATACAATCATTTCTCCCTTTCTCCTTTCTGGCCTCTGTTTTTCATCTTTAGCTCAAATCATCAAACACACCATGCCCTCGCTGTGATCTCTTCTCTGAGCCAGAATCCACGTAGAAGGCCACAAACCTGAAAATAAGCAGTTGTCAGGCAATCAGCGGAGTCTCCACTAACTTACTGATCTCAGCAAAGAAACAGTCTGACACATAAAGCCCTGTAAAATGCTAAACTATTGATTTTAAAGTTAGATTTTTGTACATATTAAACAAATAAGCTGCAACATGCTAATGAGGTGCTTCTAGGTGGATATTGTTTCCTTTCAGAGTTTGGTTTGCTCTTTAAGCTAAGATGGTCTATGCACTACAAGGATGAGAGAGTATCAATCTTCTCATTTAACTTGTGGCAAGAACACACATTTCTGTCACGCTCCTGCCCCTCTTGCTTCCTGTCATGCTTTTATTTTCACATGACTTCCTGTTTTGTTTCACCTCAGTTTTGGCCCTTTTATTTAATCATCATTAGTTCACCTGCTCCTTATTGTTTGCACCTGTTTTTCACTTCTATTTAGGCAGCGTCCTCCCACCAGGACGCTGCCAGATTGTTCTAGACCCCAGCTCTGACTCTCCAGCACTTATACCTTGCCTGACTCTCTGTTTTTGACCTAGGATTATCGTTTTTTGACCACCGTGCTTTCTATATGCCCTCCCAGATTCTGATCGCCTGCTGTGTACCGACCTTCTGATTTTGTCCCCCTTGACCTCGAGTTTGGATCCCTTGGCTATACCTGTTTACCGGCGCCGACCCTGGACTGTCTTATCGACCCGGGTGATGTCCTGGACTTTTTGTTAGTTGTTTTGTTTACTACTAGTAAAGAACTTGTCGCTACCTCAGTTCGTCTGGTTATTTAATTGAGTTCACCACATCCTCTGTTTGGCATCTGTACACGCCAAACCTGACAATATTTCATAATTCAAAACAATGACTGGCATTTAAAGGGTTAGAAAATCCTGAGAATGATTGAATGTTTGGTAGTTTTGAGCAAGATTGAAGTTGTTTAAGAGATTTATGGGGGAAAAAACAGAAAAATATTGATGTATGATGATTTAATAACAATTTTTGTATGTGTACATTTTTGGCCATGAGGGTGTCAGGAGGATAGTACAATTGAGGAGGGTGGAAGGGTTAAATCCCTAGTGGTGTCTGCATTTCATTCCTACACTATCTGTCCTTCCCCATGAGTCTGTTTTCCTTCCTTCACTTATTGACTCTGATTTCAGCACTAACACAATGTTCAAGGGAGTGTTACTTCCTCCTGAGGCAGCTGGGTGTTGTTTGTGTGCATGTGTTTTACCCTCTATGTGTTTGCCTACACGTGCAGCCCCCACTGCTCCTGCTTAGACAACAGAAAGAGAACAGACATGTAGTTTGTTTGCACTATTTTGTACTAATTTCTTTCATGAGCTGTCTAAACCGATGCAAGTCATACATGACTGAAAATCTTTTTAAGCGGCAAATATAATATCCTACATACATATGTTATACTGTACATCTTTCTACACATGCAAAACATACAACATTTTGGCATTTGCATTGGGATTTAACAGGAATTATTAATATATATATGTACTATAAGTGTTAACATTTTGTTTTCACCTTAAAAATACATTTTTCACAGATGACAACCATGAATCCAATCCAATTTCCAGTCTACCTCATGTATAATGTATATAGCCTTAACTCTCCTCAGAGAACTGCTGTTGAATTCATAATTTTCTTGCTTTCTCCTCCTCAAGGTGCATTTACTACAAATGTTACTAGTTATGTATGCAGTCAGCACAGAGATGAAAGATACATGGATCACATTTTGGTGTGTGCTTTCATACATGTGTGTGAGCTGCTAACAGTCATATATGCAGCTTCAAAAGAGCTATCACTGCTCCTGAGACACAGAATATGGGTCTTGATGTCAGATAGTCCCACATACAGTATGTGCCTCCTTAAATGTAGAGTTGGCAATTCTTTTCAGAAGCAATTTTTGTTATAAATCTTGAAATTCTCTTTTCATCCTGATGGCAATGAATACATTAAATGCACTGACAACATTAAAAAAAATCTGTCACCTGTGGAAGCAGCAGGGCTGAAAAAGCCTGACCAGTAATTTTACTCATCCCAAGTAAAACCACTGGATGGCCTACCTGCCTGTCAACCTGCTTCCTACTTGGATGCACTTTGTCCATGCACTCGGTGTGTGAGCCAAGAATCTCCCACAAGGCACTGTAGTTGCAGGCAGATGTGTTACCACTCTGTTTTGATAGCTAGAGTTAGCAAGCTATGGCAGAAAAGGTACCCACAGCAGCTTTCATTCATAAATGCGACCTTTGTTACAGGCCAGGCCTTCCCCTTTAAGACATATAGCCTTATAGGAAATGTTGTTGTTGCCAGAAGTTGCCTGTATGCAGTGTGAGAGTGAGAAGACCACTGCATGGAACAGACTCCTTTTACATGCAGCCACAGATGGAGAAAATACCAAGAGTAGTCAGTGCTAAGTGCATAGATAGGACTGTAATGCAGTTAACTGGGAATCAAAGGCCACAGGCAGCGTTTGTGTTACCAAGACAGAATAAAGCCTGTGCTTTGAACAGACTTAACTGTCCTCCTTCACTTCTCCCCATTGAAAAAGCCTGGAATTCTAAGGCTAGTTACCGGCTACGAGCCAGGGCTAAAGTAGTTTAGCCATGGCCCAGGGGTCCTCAACTATGGTTCAGGGCCACAGATCTGGATGGGTAACACCCTATATGAGAAAGTTACAAGTAAATAGAAGATGGATGTTGCAAGAAGTAAAACCAGAAGTAACATTGGTGTGGCTTTTGAATGATGGTGGCAACTGAGAGAACAAAAGGAACCATGGTGGCTGTATTTCAGCTAGACAGGTAATTATTGGTTTTGTTTTGTTTGGGGGGCAATCTTTAAGTAGTAGTCAGGCAGTGCATGTTATGTTTTGGAGGAGTGGCTTTGGAGTCAGAACGCAAGGGTGGGATTTCTTTGGTTGGCTGCAATGCAATGTTTGGTTAATAATAGAGTGGGCCAAGCATTCAGTGAAAAACTGCTGAACTTACGACATGGAGGTGTTCAAAAATAGAGTAGAGCAGACTGATGCAAGAAACTGAGCCAAAGGGCTTTTAAGGTTAGGTCATAATTTGTGACAGTTGGAGGAGAAAAGAATATCAGCTAGGACTTAGCCTTTCAGAGCAGAGATGAGGAAGGGAGACATAGAGACACAGGGAAACATAAATGTGTTTGAGTGAAAAAATAATGTCTAATAACGGCAATGATGGCAAGAATAAAAGTGTTTGAATTGTTTCTTTTGTTGCTCCTGGATTACAGGTTGCACTGTCATCCACATTTGCACTGATAAAGCTGGGTACAGAAGTTTCAGTTTCACTCCAGGAAAAGAAGTGTTTCTTCAGAAAATACCCAAAAGTATAATGAAGCACTGCTCACCATAAATTCATCCACAGATAAATGGTCATCATCCCTGCAATATTTTTCCCTTGTTGCTGCAGCTGCATCTAAATATAAACCATAAAAGGCTGCAGTGGATGCTTTGGTTGCAGAAGGCACCAGAGAGATATAAAATACAGCTTCTGTCAAATTCAGTGATTTATGACCCCCATGACATCACCTGACAGTTGATGGATAGTGCCCTAAATCTCGCCCACTTTTCACACTTCACTTCTGTATAGATGACAAGGATCATATTGTTTTATGGGACATAATTACATTCTTTAAAGGATTTTGTACTTTGTTACAACGTATTTAGTCCAAGTGTTTGCAGAAACAGTGTACAGATATCACCACAAGAGGGCACTTATGAGTAAGTCGAACGAGTGATGAAGCGGAAGCACCAAGAGAAGAATTGTTACGGTGGGGTGTCCCTCACCAGGAGGTGAGAGAGAGAGAAGAGGAGGACTCAAGGTGCAGGCTCGGGTGATAATAAATATGTGTCTTTATTGCAATATATGTACAAAGAAGTGGACAAAGTCAATGGGTGGTCAAACCAGGGTTGAGCTGTGGAGGCTGAGAAGCCCACAACAGGGAGGTGAGTAAACAGGCGAACTGCAACTGCAGGAACCAGAAGAGTCAGAGGACCAGGACCGGCAGGTGAGTAGACAGATGAACTGCAGGAACCAGAAGAATCAGAGGACCAGGACGGGCAGGTGAGTAGACAGATG